GCTGCAAGAGAAATGTGCCATTTTTTTTATATAGTGCATATATTGACAAGTAGCAAAATGAACATAAATTTGCACAATTTATTCTTGATATATTTCAGATGAAAGTCCCAATATAATATTATAAGATTACAATTGTATTTCCTTCCCCAATGTACAGTTGTCTGTTCCAACATTTAGGTTTTAAAAAATAATATATTAGCACTCATACAGGAAGTTTGAGGTAAAGCTGAATTATAATTTGCAGATCTCTGACAATTGCCCACAATTGCTGGGGCTGCTGGGAGAACAATATTTGAAGGACCAAGTATTTCAATCCTGCATGAATAGCTAAGTGTGTGGTCATTTCTTTATAGTCATTGAACCATAATTGGTCCAAAATAATAGAAATGAGGATAGACTTTACAGTGATGGCTGAGTGACATTGTGAAAGTTCTACCAGCTGCTGATGGGGAAATTTCCTCTAAGAACAGTTTTTAAAAGTCCCCTGTTCTTACTATGCATAAAAATAAAGAAGACCATGATTTGGATTTTAGAGTAGACTTTCCAATGCATTATTATCTTTTCTTTCAAATGCTAGTGTGGAAAAGCAATCTAGAGACTGAGAATCTCTTCTCTACTTCTGATACATCAACCCACTCTATCCCCCAATCATTACTGCCCTGTTAACGCACTTATTTTTTGACAGCTTCGTCGGGTGATTGGTGACTTTGGTGTCCCCATTGCCATCCTTATCATGACATTGGCAGACAATCTTATTAAAGATACCTACACTCAGGTAATAATTCTTTTATTTCTTAATGCAGCTCCTTCCCCCTACTTCTTTTGTTTCTAGTTTAACAGTTTGGGGCTTAATGCCCTTTCCATGCAAAAGGGAAGTAAGGTGCTCATACACAATCGTCCTCTTTGAATGGTTAATTTGATTGTTGTTCAAGAGGGTTTGCTAAGAGACTTACAATAAAATAATAGAATGACAATCTGCCCACTATTCCATATATAGAAGTTAGCTGCAATTGCCATTGAATCTGATTTCAACATTGACAATGGAAAAATTCTTATACTGCATCAGAGATCTTGTAGTGAATGGAAAATCAAAAACAAATTCACAAAGCCTATCCAATCTTCCCCCTTGGCATCCATATCTGAAGGGAAAATATTTATTATGTTAAATGACTATAATGATCCTGTTTTCCACATCCGGATGAGCAAGATACTAACAGTTCTAGAATCCATTGATTTTTCTCTACTTCTCTTGCTTTTCCTAGAAATTGAAAGTTCCCAAAGGCCTTCAAGTCTCCAATCCTGAAAAGCGGGATTGGTTTATCCATCCATTAGGAAATGAATTCCCCAAGTGGATGATGTTTGCTTCACTTGTGCCAGCTCTCCTGGTTTTCATTCTCATCTTCTTGGAGACACAGATCACCACGTAAGAAATGGGGGAAAGATGAAAAAGATGGGATAAAATGATAAAATAATTGACCCAAGAATGGAGTATGTCAAAAGGGTATGCAGTAGATTAAAAAAGGGGGGGCAGGGGTGGGGGAGGAAGTCAGGATGAAAGAAATGCCTACTGGATTTAGAAAAGAAATGAGTGATTATGTGGTTCCAACTTTACATTGATTTCATATCAACTCCAGTATAAAATATGCATGTACAAGTTTGACAAAGATTTTTTGGTAAATCCTGATGTCAGATTTATAACACAATATTAAAATAATAAATAAATATTCTGTTTTTATTTTGCTGCTGCTTCAGGCTGATTGTAAGCAAACCTGAGAGGAAGATGGTGAAGGGTTCAGGTTTCCATCTCGATCTCCTTCTTATTGTTGGAATGGGAGGTATTGCACCACTTTTGGGTATGCCCTGGCTGAGTGCCACCACAGTGAGGACTGTCACGCATGCTAATGCTCTGACAGTTATGTCCAAGACTACCCTTCCAGGAGAAAAGGCCTGCATCCAGGAGGTCAAGGAACAGAGGGTTACTGGCTTCCTGGTCGCTATTCTTGTGGGTGAGTTCTTCTGCAAAAGATTCCATTGATTGTATTTATTTTTATTTATTTCAAGTTTTATAAGACTGTCCAACTCAGCCAGTGTGACTCTGATCAGCATGCAACATAACCAAGCAATAATTTTAAAAAAAAACTGAAAACCATCTACATTCTACCACAATATAAAATGTAAATGTAATATGGCAACCAAGCACACAACAAAACAGCTACAAGAGGGACTCCCACTCACCCAGCCCCAGTGACTGAGGAAAGTGCCAGATCTTATGGACTTTCCTAAAGGCAACCAGAGTTGGGGCCTATTGTGTATTTGTGCTAGTGGGAAATGATTCCATGCAGTAGGGGCAATCACAAAAAAGGCACTTTTCTTAGGATCCCATAAGATGACAAGATTTCAAACAAAGAACCGTCACTGACAGAGCATATGGGTTGAGCAAAGATTCTTGGGAGAAGGCAGTTCCTGAAGTAATCTTATCCTATGGTATATAAGACTTTAAAGGTAACCACCAACACATTGAATGATTGTCAAAGGATTAGCTTAAAACAACCTACTTGTTCATGTTAAAGAATAAATGATGTGCCTTTTAAAAAAAGTAAACAGTAGATGGTAAATGTAGATACAGGTAGTCCTTGACTTACAATCATTTGTTTAGAGACTGTTCAAAGTTACAACAGCATTGAAAATGTGACTTATGAACATTTTTTCACATTCTCATATAAGGTCATGTGATCAAAATTCAGTCTCTTAGCAATTGGCATGTATTTATGACAATTGCAGTACAATATCCCAGGATTATATGATTACCTTTTGCAAGCTTCTGATAAGCAAAGTCAAGGAAAGGAAATCAGATTCATTTATCAACTGTGTTACTAACTTAACACTGTAGTGATTTACTTAACTGTGGCAAGAAAGGTTGTTGTCAAATGGGGCAAAACTCTCTTAACAACTGTCTTGCTTAGCAACAGACATTTTGGGCTCAGTTGTGGTCGTAAGTCGAGGATTACCTGTAATAAGAATTGAACCTCCTTTGCATTATTTTAAGGCTTAGTTGCAGTGTATATATTGAACTATATCAAAGTTATAGAAGCCCAGACCAGCACAATACCACTGAGAAAACAAAAAAAACAAGAAATCCAAGAAGAAACCAGCATGGCTGCTCAAAGATCTCTCTGGCAAATTGAAAGAAAAAAAAGGACAACTACAAAAAATGGAAAGAAGGACATACAGCTAAGGCAGAATATCAGCAGATAGCCAGAATCTGCAAAGACGAAGTCAGGAAAGCAAAGGCTCAGAACAAACAAAGACTTGCAACAAAAGTCAAAAATAATAAAAAAAAAAGTTTCTTCCAACATATAAATAACAAGAAAAAAAATCAAGGAAACAGTTGGTTCACTAAAGAGAGAAAATGGCAAGGAAGTAACAGGCCACAGAGAGAAAGCAGAGCTGCTTAACTCATTATTTGCATCCGTCTTCACACAAAACAAACTATAGCTCAACCCACCAAAAACATAACTGTAATAGACAGACCAGAAATAAAAGTTAAAATAAGCAAAAGAAATAGTACGAGAACACCTGTCTGATCTTGATGAACACAATCACCGGGGCCTGACAGATTACATTCCAGAGTTTTAAAGGAGCTGGCAGAGGTCATCTCAGAACCACTGCACCATATCTTTCAAAAATCCTGGACCACCAAGGAACTACTAGAGGGCTGGAAAAGAGCTGTTGTGGTTCCCATCTTCAAAAAAGGGGAAAAAAACAGACCCAGGAAACTATATACCTATCAGCCTAACATCAATACCCGGGAAGATACTGAAAAAGATAATAAAAAACCGATGTGCCAACATCTAGAAACAAGAAGTAATATAGCAGTCAGCATGGGTTTGTTAAAAACAGATCATGCCAAACCAATCTTATTCTTCAACATAGTGACTAAATTAGTAGACCAGAGAAATATTGTGGATATAATATACTTAGATTTCAGCATGGCATTCGACAAAGTAGACCACAATCTACTCTTTGGTAAGCTAGAAAAAAGTGGAATGCATAGCATCACCACCAGATGGATTCGCAAATGGCTGAGAAACAGTACTCAACAAGTAGTCATTAATGGGTCTATGTCTACATGGAGGGAAGTAAGCAGTGAGGTGCCACAAGGTTCCATCTTAGCCCAGTACTCTTCAATATCTTCATTAACGACATAGATGAGGGAATAAAAGGGGAACTTACCAAATTTGCAGATGATACTAAGCTGGCAGGAATAGCTAATATTCAAGAAGATAGGCTCAAGATCAAGATGGATCTTGACAGACTAGAACACTGGACCATATTTAACTAAATGAAATTCAGTGTAGAGAAAAGAAAGGCCTGGGTGAAACCAGGTTTAATAGCAGTAACTTTGAGAGGGATCTTGGAATCTTAGTGGACAACCAGCGAAATATGAGCTAGCAGTGTGCAGCAACAGCCAAAAAAGCTAATGCAATCCTAAGTTGCATTAACAGAGGGATACAATCAAGATCAAGTGAGGTACTAATACCACTCTATAAAGCCTTAGTAAGACCACACTTAGTTTTGATTACCATACTATAAAAAGATGTTGAGACTCTAGAAAAAGTATAGAGAAGAACAACCAGGATGATTAGGGGACTGGAGACTAAAACATATCAAGAATGGTCACAGGAACTGGGCATGGCTAGTCTAGTGAAGAGAAGGATCAGGAGAGACATGATAGCAGTGTTCCAATATTTGAGGGGCTGCCACAGAGAGGAGGGGGTCAAGCTATTTTCTAAAACACCCAAAGGCCAGACAAGGAATAATGGATGGAAACTAAATAAGGAGAGATTTAACCTGGAAATAAGGAGAAACTTTCTGACAGTGAGAACAATCAACCAATCGAACAGCTTGCCCTCGGAAATTGTGGGAGCGCCATCACTTGAGACTTTCAAGAAGAGATTGGACTGCCATTTGTCAGAAATGGTATAGGGTCTCCTGCTTGGGGAGGGGGTTGGACTAGATGACCTACAAGGTCCCTTCCAACTCTGATGATCTGTTATCTGTTATAAATATATGAGCTTTGAGAAATTCCTTTTTCCTATTATATCCAATTTACCTGTTCCTACTGTTGTTACAAGAAGTTGTGATCATTTTTATAGCTGGATGTAGAAATTGCTTAACCCAATATGCAAAAAAGACAGCTCTCACATTCAGGGGAAATATATACCTTTGATAAACCAAAACTGGAGCCTAGTCATTAGGAAGACTGACCATTGACTTTGTGCTCCACTTGAGAATATCTTCTGGTCCCCAACCGATATGAGTAAGAAGAATGGTAGGCAAGTTTACTTTCCTTATCTCTTCTGATTGGGAAGGAGAATGTTACAATTGTTCCATTCCAATGGGATGATCCGTGTGCATTGTATAATCTTTAATTACATTACAATTTTAAAATTAAATCTCTTTAGTCCACAACATTGTCTTTTGCTTATCTACAGGCCTGTCCATACTCATGGAACCCATCTTGAAGCTGATTCCACTTGCAGTACTCTTTGGTATCTTTCTCTACATGGGGGTGACATCTCTCAATGGCATTCAGCTATATGACCGCATTCTTCTCATGCTGAAGCCACCCAAATACCATCCAGATGTGCCTTATGTTACAAAAGTAAGCTTTGAAGGCATAACTCCTACATTTTCCTTGAAAATTGCTGAAGTGGGGAAAACAGATAAATCTATGGTTCAAGAAGTTTGCTGCCTAAATATTAGTCCCTGATCTTGTTTATGACTTCCACATAGTGCTAATATTACTTCTATCTTCTTGGGAAACCAAGCTCATCTTCTTCTGCATTTGCTGTAGTACAAATGGAAAACTGTTTTACAATTTGTAATGTTGGGATTCTGCAAAATTTGAAGGCGAATCATTTTCCAATTTACAGGAACTCTCGTTTTATCCTATCACTTCCCATCTGAAATCAAATTTCATGGTCATATCAGTAAACTAGATTTTGATCTTTCTTATCAGTTTCTAGGTAGTTTTTCTACCCTTGTAAATAGCAAATCCCTATTTGTGCTGATTCCCCCTGCTTATATAAACAGTCCACATCAAAATTCTTGCTTCATTCTGAGCTTATAGCTCTGACTTCCAATGCCCATACATGAGGGTTTACACTACAACCTTATAACCATGATTATAGCTACTGGAAAAAGAGCTTGGCTAGAAAACCTGAGACTAGAGAAGCAATTTATTCACTGCTCTATTTTTTATGTGGTATAGATTTTGATCGTTCCAGGAACAGCTGTAGGGCAAGGAGCAAAGCAGCAATCAAAGGTTTTTTGCCCTCTGCTACTGGATGGCTTGAAGTTGAAATTTCTTTCTTGTACTCAGTGTTGCAAATAAATTGGCAAGCATTAAAATGATTATATAGCCAAGTTCAAATCATGGGAGGGGTTGGGAGAGTGGAACAGTGCCATGTGGAAGTGTCTACAGACAAGTCAAAGATGTAATGGAAATATATACTTCTTTCTGAGCTTTGTTTACCTATTTCATTGAAGTATTTATTTGTTTGTTTATTACATTTCCACACTATCCATCTCACCTAAGTGATTCTAGGCAATTTACAACACCAAATGAAAGCTTGATCAGAAGCATCACAGATTCTTTTATCAAAGCTTAAGCATATCTGTCTTCCAATTTAGAGAGCTATGACTGGAGTATTATGGAAGCAGAATTTTTAAGTAAAACCCCTGCCAGAATTTCTCTCATTACAGTAGCAGGCCTGGGAAAGGCCTCTGCATGAGATCTTGGAGGCATGTGAGGGCCAGAGTTCAACAGATTAATGCTTTTGGTTATTTGATCATGATTCATAGAGAGGTATGCCTAGTTTTAAGCCTAGCCTGTTGAAAAACTGCAATTGTTAAGTTCAAACCTACATTAAGCCATAGCCCATAATGGCTAAATTCACATACCTGATTTAGCCATAATTTGTGCTATCCTTGCAGTTGAAATTTTGGTGGCTGCACTTTACTTTACTAAATAGTTATTCCACTTCTGCAACCATCCATCAAAGTCAGTGTCTATGGGTGGCTTACAGTACTAAGAATATAAAAACGCTTAAAACATAAAATAACAAGTATTTTCACATAATTTTGTGTCATGTACTATGGTTAACAAATCTCAATGGCTGGACTTAAACATTGCAACAAGAAAAAAATACGTATTTGCACAGTGTGCTTTTCATACATATATACTAACCCATGTATCAATTAAATGCCATTGCCAGGCAAATATTGATTCTGGCCAGAAGTTGAAGGAAAGAGTTGCTAATGTTGCCAACTGTTCCTGTTTCTTTTCTTCCCAAAGGTAAAGACCTGGCATATGCACATATTCACCCTCACCCAGATTCTCTGCCTAGGATTGCTGTGGGGAGTGAAAACCAGCCCAGCCTCTCTTGCCTTACCGTTTATACTCATTCTGACTGTCCCTCTTCGATACTTCTTGCTCCCTGTCATTTTCACAGACATTGAGCTCAAGTGTGTAAGTATTGTTGTGCTCTCTCTTCTCCCTCAGCAATGGGAACTTCTGATGGGATACTTATGTACATATTTAATTATTTCTTTGTTTAAAAGATTTGTGTGGCTGCCCATCTTAAAGTGCAGTTTTGAGTGGTATAACCTGCAGGTCAATAATGACTTTCCTGAAAGAAGCCATACCCACATCCAGAAAAGAGTACTCTGTGCTCCTACAATTAATATAGCAATATATCCCAGATTATTTCCTCAAAACTTCTGAAATGCAGGCCTGCCCAAAGCAGTTGATGGTGGGCTCAAGAGAAATATGTCTACATTCAGTTCTTTAAATTTAAAGTTTGCAATTTCTTTCCATGAAATGTAGTCACAGCCACCAATGTGAAGAGCTTTAACAGGGAATTGGCCACATTTTTGGATAAAAAGAATGATCAGGGGCAGGGCAGAGTTTTTCTAAGAAAAAAAGGCTGCAGAAACATGTAAGAAGCGTCACTAGTGTGCATGTGCTGTCTCTCAATTTAGCACTTATGATATAGTCAATGTTTTTTTTAAAAAAAAATAGCATCTGAGATGGACAGTTTCACGCAGCTTCTCTTGGAGTCATCCCAGAAGGTTTCATGACACCAATAATTTCCATGGCGCCAATAAGAATAACTTGTCAAAGCATGCAAGTTAGAGGACAATCTCATGAGGTGTAGCCACATACACCTTGTTCACTGTTAATGCCCAGGTGGAATAGATTTTTCTATCCCTGAGAAAGAGCGCTGAAGTACAAGACCAACCGATTTATGTGTTGGCCCGCCCAACCTCTTACCTTGGATGCTTATAGATGTGTATGAATGAGAAAGCCAAGAACAGCCTGTCTTTCTGTGTGGATATAATGCAAGGTGAATGAATCTTTTTCCTATGAGGTATATTCGAAGCAGAGGTCATCATGCTTTTCCCTCCTACTGAACTTGGTGAAAAAATGTTTCATGTATAATGTGAAGCTATATTACTGGCTGTTGTGGTGATGGTGCTGCAATATAAAAAAATAATCTTCTCCTATGCTGCTATAGTTTCCACAATTCATAATGTTCTCCTACAGTAGTATTTTCTCTATTAGAACAGGGCTACTAGCAGCATGTTCATATGCTTGGGTGTTCTGTTAGCATTATCTGTCACTGTTTGTGTCTCCTTTAAATTTTATTAAATTTTAATGTCTAGCAAAATTGTCTATAAGATTATGCCCTCAGTTTCCCCCAAATTACGACGTAGTACATGTAAAGCACTCACTGCTTTTGTTAATCATGGTGGAATGGCATGATTGAGGAAACATACTCATGTCCATATCTGGCAGCTCAGACTTAGATTGGGCCCAAAGTTCCTTTTGTGTCTGGATTCAAAATTTGATATATCTGAGAGAACACAAAGAATTTGCATTGTTTTAGTCTGTGGTTATTTAGCACAAAAAGGAATTTATCAATGAATTTCTGTGCACTTCAGTTCACCACTAATAATGAGGATGCCGCACAACGTAAGGATAAGGAACCATATAGAAGAGTTGAATATATATGAATTGGTGAAATAACAACATTGTTTGTTTATTTATTTATTTAAGAAAATATATATGGCTGCCCAATTCACTCTCAGTGATTCCAAGTGGCTTACAAGGATAAAAGCTCAATACAAAAACAATAAAAAGTAATAACTTCCCACTCTCCAATAACAACAATCAAATGAACCATTTGATGGGTTCCAGAGGTTACCACAGCCATTGGCAAAGCCACATCTTTGAGGCCTTGTGAAAGAGTGCCAAGGTTGGGGCCAATTTTATCTTCGCAGGGATGATGTTTCATAGGATAAAAGCCACCATGGAGAAGTCCCTTCTGCTTGGTCATGCTAGATGGATCTTCTTGGGAGAGGGGATCCATAACATTCCCTGCCTCTGTTGGGGTGGGTAGATATGACTGGGAAAAGACAGCCCCTTCAAATAATCTAGTCCCAAGCCATGTAGGGCTTTGAAAGTGATAATGAGCACCATTATATGTGCCATTAAGTTGCTGTCACCTCTTAGTGTCCACTTGAATATATTTTCCATCATGATCTAAATGCTCAGCAGAAAATCATGTGTTTTGAAATTCAGTCCTAATTTCTCCAGTTTAAAAGGAACTCAACAGAGGGGTTGAGATAGATAGATACCTCTGCCTTTCGGCCTTGGAGAGTTGCCATTTTTTAATCTCTAGTTCTATATTTAATCATTAGGTGGAATGTTAGAAGCAATATTTTTCAAAGTAGATAGAGCCAGAATGAAATGGGTGAAGACAGTATCAAATCTAAATTAGATTTCATTGATTTAAAATTAATTAAAAGTAAAATATAATTAACTGCAGTTATCACAGCTGTTTCCCATATAGTTGATATTCTTCATTTCATTTTTCAGTGTTTTATTGAATATTGGACTTTGTTGGTCACTTTTGGAGAGCCACTGAAAGCAAATCCAAGGCTTGGAGAAAGCAGCTTTTACAAATGTAGTGCTAAAGATTGCACACCAATGAAGTAAATAGTACTAGCTAACTTATTAATTATTATGAATAAGCTTATTAATCATCTGATTCTATATAAGCCGGCTTCATATGTAATGACTATTTGAAACTACTTAATCCTTGACAAATGAAAAAAAAAAATCAAGAGTTTCAAAGTTTAAGTACAGCACTCTGTTTTCTTAGCCACACTTACTGTAGCTTCTAAATGTATTTCTCTTCCAGTTGGATGCTGAGGATACTGAGCTGACTTTTGATGAGACAGAAGGCCAAGATGTCTATGATGAAGTCCAGATGCCTGTTTGAGCACCGAGCTGCTGCTGCCACTAGGCAAATGAGGAACCAATTCCCACACACACACACAAACATTGGATATCAGAATCTGGAGGAAGATATCCATATAGCTATATAATTATAGTATATATATATATATATATATATATATACATACATACATTAATTGCACATGGCCAAACATTCCAGTGGTGTAAATATATATGATTGTCAACACATGGATCCTATAGGATTTAAGAAACATATTTTCCCCCAGTCAATTATAGTTCTATAGTGAATCTTAATATTTCTTTCTTAGGGTTTAGGAAATAGACGTATTTTCCCAGAAGGGGAAAAAAGTAGCAAGATATGCAAGAATTGTTAAAAAGATGATACAAGTTAACAGTGGACTCCATTTTTAATGCAGCTATAACCCAGGTATTTCTCTTCTGTACGTGTGTGTTTGTGTGTGTGAAGCTTTATCAGTCATAGAGGAACCCATCTACTTTTCTACCAAGATAAGAAGCATTTTTATTACTCACATTGCCAGACCATCTACACCAATGAATATCTGTAATGTGTTTTGAAAAGTAATGCTGAAAATCCATCACCGTTCTCTGATGGACCATCAGGATGAATACTTCAGAATGCTGGAGTGGACTGAAGGAAAGAAGAAGAGGCAATAAGCTCTTTCTTAACCACTGGAATAGAATAGGAAAAAGCTGGAGCATGAAAATGAGGCACAGAAGAAACACACAGAATGTGCCATATTCATAATAGAAAGAAGCAACAAGCCTAACCTCATGGTGAAAACCAGGAATAGAAGTGGCAGAAATATCAGGTTTCAAGAATCAAGAATGCTCATTTGATGTGAAATACTGACAGATGAAAAATCCATCTCAGCTTGTCAAGCGGGGATGACATATTTGAAAAATTGGCTTCCTGGGAAAACTAGTAATCTTTTTCTTTGAAGATGGAATTCATTTTCTGTGAATTCATCTTACCCCCTTTCCCACTGAAACTTGAAGTATGCTAATATGATGAAGGCATCATCCAAATGATGAAGCATCATCCAAAAGTACAGTTCTACTCTGGCTATTTATGTTGCTTGCTTGTTCTTGTAATTAAGTTTTAACAAATGCTACTTTTTTCCCTTAAGCTGGCATCTATCTAAGTCTCTACCTGGGAAATGTGCCATTTGACAAAAAATTAGTATATCCCAGATTATAATAATTAGAGCTGTATATTTGAAAGAGTAGGCAAGCCAACTTGGTGCATATTAACATCCAGAGATTCTTAGCTTCCAATTAAATATCAATTACTAGTCCTTAAGAATAGAAAAAAATATGTAAATTTCATCAATCAGTCCTTCCTTTCCCCCTCTTATGAACCATTCCAAACGTTCAAGTATTCCTGCATTCAAGAAGCCATTCTAAGCTAATGTCTGCAAAAAGGCTTAATTTACAGACTGTTATTGCAAAATAGGGTTTAATTTTTGCACACCTTGATGTTTTACATGCAATCTAACAGTACTTACTACATACATAGCGTTATAGAACTTTCTTCCTCTCTTACTTCAAGTCTCTAATATTGGGTGTTGTTCTGAATCAAGCTTTGAGTCCTCATTAATTTTCACTTGCCCAAACACTTTACAAATAGTCTTTGACAATCCACGTTTTTCCTTCTCAGTAATGTGACATGTTGCTCACTGAAAGTTTGTCTTCTTATGGGTTTTTCCCCCCACGATTATAGCAATAACAATGAATATAGGATCTATATTAATGCAGGATCTATATACATGCAGCAGGTTTCATTTTCTCCTTAGAATTTTTGAAAATGTTTCTCATGGTGGTATGAATTCAATATTGGTAATAGTCATTTCAGCAATATTATTATTTGTTATTTCCTAAAAAATAATAAAGGTGCTAAACTCAACAATATCTGGAGTCCTTCAACTTGTCAATGCCTGCCTTCTAACCCCTGGCATGTATAGCCTACCACTGTGTTGCTCAGTGAGTGAAAACTTTCTGTGCATGACTAAGATACTTTTCTTTATTATTTTACATTATACAGGATGAATCATGGTTCTAACCATGCACTGCTTAACATTAATTTGATTACGAGAAGGACTGGAGAAAAAACAAATGGTAATATTTCCTCTTGCAATGCATAAACAATTTATGGAATTGATTTCCCTGAAGTATACAAATGGACATTAGCTTATGTGGCTTTAAATAAAGGATTTGGTATACAGTATAAAAAGTGACTAGACCAGTATGTATTAGTCATGATAGCCAAATGAAACTTCCTTCTTTAAAGGTATTAGACCAGCATAAATTAATGAGGTGACCAATGTTATTGTGTCCTTCATATGAACTTCTCAGTTTGTAAGTGGAATTCTGATCTGTGAGATTTTTAGGTCGTTTTATTAAAGGAGAAAAAAAAACAAGAACAAAAAATGTATTTAGCCTAGGAGCCATGGGTTCAGTTTGAATTAGTAGAAAGCCACTGTATCCTGAAAGCCATTTTATAATAATTGTCAATAACAAACTACAGGGATTCTTATTCTAGATTAAACCTATAGTATCATTTGCATTACTATTTATGCATATGGGAGTTCTAGATGGACTGCTTTGTCTTTATTAGCAATGCAACATATACAAACTCAACGACTAAACCTAATATGTTAAAATAGTAAATTATATCTGTAGATATCTGGTATATCAGATTTTTTAAAATTCTTATTCATTAGATTTTTCCAAGAGTTCGAAGTAATTTGCATAATACTCCCTCTTCAATATCTCAGCATAGCAACAATTTTGTGCTGGGGTGAGGTGGGCTGAAAAATAGCAGCTAACCAAAAGTCACCCTATAAATTTCCATGACCATGGCTCTCATCATAGCCGTAATCCAATATTTAATCATACTCCTGTCTCTCAGTTATTAAGACATTCTAGGCATAGGATCCCCTCTCCTGCAGTGGGATTTCCTTTATAACTAAAGGTGTACACTAATTTAGTGAGAATGGGTTTTTATAATTTATTAAAAATCATATTTAATGTTTCAGTTGCTTTGCTATCTCTGCTGTATCGAATATTTTTAACAAGGGTAGCAAGAAACAAGATCTTGGGATAATGTGCTGCATTTATTTTATGTGATCTTATTTTGATTTAGGCATGATTAAGCCAATATTATTGCAATGATTTTCTTGTTTAGACCAATACCAGAAGCAATAAACCTTTTTAAAAATAATAATAATAATAAATAAGCTGTTCAGAGTATTTGCAATCCAAACTCACAAAGTTCTTCACCTATGAATAATACTTGGAAAAAGTATAATTCTGTAATTTAGTGCTCCCCTCAAGGCCTTCTCAATAGAAATTGGTTAATGTTCCTCTAACACAGGGGTCCTTGAGGTCCAACCTTCTGGATCTCAGGGACCACCAAACTCATAATTTTAAATCCCACAGACCAGAGACCCTGGAAAACACCCCCAAAAAGTCTGCAGGAAAATTCCCCACCCCATTTTCCTACCAATCGATCATTCTTTACCACCTCCACTCCCACTCCCGGGGGGGGGGGGGGAGAGAGACTTTTGGCTTCGTGCAAGGAAAGCAGCAGAAGTCTTCCTTTCTCTCCCCCAAACTCTACCAGAAATGAGTCTTTGTGAGACTTGTTGCACCGGCATAGCCTCTTGGAGCAGGATGCCTTGCAGTATCCAAAGACTCATTTCTGGCAGAGATGGGGGGAGAGAAAGAAAGACTTTTGCTGCTTTCCCTGCATGCAGCCAAAAGCAGAAGAAGAAAGAAGTGGAAAGAAATGGCCAGGCAAGGCCCGTGGGGTGAGTGGGGCAAGTTCCCCCTCTACCCTTTCCCCCTCCCCTCACTACCTCATGTTGTTCGCAATGCAAGCAATGCAAACGTGTGGGCCATGTGGGCGGTGCAGCCTTGTGTTCCTGCTCGGATTAATTGCTTTGGGGGGTGCTTTGGGGGTGACATTTCTTTGCAGACCACCAAATTTTTCTCGCAGACCACCAGTGGTCCCCAGCCCACTGGTTGACAACCATTGTTCTAACAGATTGGTGAGATAAAAGCCTTGTTTCTGTTTCTAGTGGTAAGTGAAATTTTACAGTCCATCAAAACAAAGCTAGAAGAGAATGAGAAACTGTGCCACACAAAAAACCTAAATCTTAGGAATTACAGCCAGTCCTGATACTTTATAAGAAGTAGTTGCTATTAATGGGGCGAGGAGGAGGAGGAGGAGGAGGAGGAGGAGGAGGAGGAGGAGGAGGAGGAAGAGGAGGAGGAGGAAGAAAAGTATTAGTAACAATATTGATATACAAAACTGTTTAATCACCTAAATCTACATTCTTATATGTGATATAATAAAGACTGAAATTACAATGAAAAGAATCTGAACTTATCACACTACCACAACCCTGAACATCAGAAGGAAACAAATTATTTTTTATACAATGTCTTCCAACAAAATGGATCCCCATGTAATTTTATTATTGAAAAGTGCCTACATGCTCAACCTTTCATAGCACAACCAACACAAGCTGTGAAAAGGATAACACTGCCATATATCAAAAACACCTCAGAAACCACTGTCAAACTATTACAATCACATGGCATCACCACAGCACAAAAAACAACTAAAGCCCTCCAAAACATCCTAAGTAAACCAAAAGATCCAGAACCCCAGAAGAAAAAACAGGTGTCATAATATACAATGTAAGGACTGTATAGAGGACAAACAAGCAAAAGGCTAGCAGAGCACATCCATGAATACTAACCAGCAGTCAGAAAACATGACAAAAGCTCCTTAATTTCACAGCATATAGACAGAGTCAACTGTAGTTTCAGTTGGGAAACTCTGAGCATCCTAGATCAATTCAACTCCAAAAACACCACAGAATTCTTGAAAGTTTGCTACTCAGGCAAATCAGCCATAAATAGGCACATAGAGATAAATAACATCTACCTACCACTGAAAAAAGTCAAAATGGAAATCAAAACACCAGAACATTTCCCACCAGCAATCAACACTCATATAAGCAGAATGTAACATCAAGACTAACACTAGACCAATAATCAAGAAGTAAACAATAGCCTAATCAAGGAACTACCAAGACCATTCCCACCAACACTGACAGGGCAAACCACTAGTATATAAAAATAAGAATAAACTTCATTCCCGATTAACACTGATGTTATCTAGTTTGATAATGAAATGTCTGCAAGAAAACCATCAAGTTTAAAAAGCACCAAGGACCTTATAGTTCAACCCTGAGCGACAGATATTCTCTTCTATCCAAATTACAAACCAGGCAGGAGCTTCTAGAATAGGGTCAATGAAGTCAAGATGATGGCTGTAATTGTGTAATTAGAAAATTTGCTCTTTTTTATACACATGGAAATTTATTTTGCTTTTTTTAATTCCTGCCCCACCCTGATATCCTTGAACTCTGGCTGCAAATATCATTTAAGTTTAAATCAGTGTTCGGCTGCAGAAGCTGAAGTCACAGAAGGCAATCTAGGATGTACCAAAGGTTTAGGTAGAAATAAGCAATGAGTTAGATAGACTGAAAAATAAAGAAAAGGCATTGTATATGCTTGTTCTCATCTTATCTCCTCCCAGAGTTCTTGTACAGAAACTCCTGCTGGCTGAGCTCCTTGAAAAAAGAAGAAACTATCAATGTTAAATTAGAGTGGGAATAACCAAGCCAGACCAGAGGATTCAGGATAACTCTTTTATTAACAGCTAACAGGGTTTAAAACGACAAACCACACACTAACACTGCGGCTGACAGGCGACAGCTGATTACGTCTGACCGTGCTTCTTTTATTGAGCACTGTCAGACCTGGCAGCCAATCAGCTGTTGCACTGTTTCCTGTTTCTTTTGTGGACTTGACTGAAGATTTGTTTGCAATACTCCTCCTTTCTTGGATGGTGCATGCGTAATCCTGGAGATATGCTGAGCGTCGCCTGTTCTTCGAAGATCTTCGCAGTGGGAACATCAAAGTTTGTTCACTTGGATAGTTGGTTGCTGGGTTGGAGTTTGTCAGCCCTTGTAGATTGTTTCCTGGTTAGGCTTCCACTCTACTGGGAGTGTTGAACTTAGCGGCAGGTAGAATATTGCTGTCGGATCACTCCGAAAGGCCTGACTCCAGCTGCAATGATAAATTCTGCATGGCCTCAGCGGGCAGGGATTTGGTGTATTCGGCCTTGGTGTGGACATTGCGTCATTGTAGGACTCCTTGGTGTTTCTAAGGTCAGCTGGGCGACTTCTCAACTGGTCAAAGTGCCGACACCACAGTCTCCCATTGTCCAATAATATCCTGTAAGAATTGGATCCAGTTACGCTCACCACCTTTCTGGGCATCCATAATGGCACTTCCCCATAGTTCCTGGCAAAGACCAAATCACCCTCTGTAATTGTTTTGAGGTTCATGTTTGGTTCATGGGTGTTGTCAGGGGCATAATTGGGGTGCAGCCTATCTAAATGGGTTTGGAGGCACTGGCCCATTAATAATTCTGCTGGACTGTTACCCCATGGTAAGGCTTGGGGTAACAAGCTGTACCAACAGGTACTTAGCCACCTTGGATTCCCAATCACCTGGGCCCATTGTGGTCAGAGCTTCTTTGGCAGACCTCACCACGCATTCTGCCTGCCCATTGAATGCAGGATGAAAAGGGGCTGAGAGGACATGCCTGATGCCCAGTCTCACCAATAATAATTTCATGTTGGCAGCAGTAAATTGAGGACCATTATCTGACACCAGAAGATCTAGTAGGCCATGTATTGCAAATAACTTTTTAAGAGTTCTGATGATAGCATCTGAAGTGGCGGATGACATGGGCACAGCCTCCAGCGACTTAGAATAAGCATCCACAGCTACTAAAAATGTTCTACCCTGAAATGGGCCTGCTAGGTCTATGTGTATCCTTGACCAAGACATTTTAAGTAGGCATTGCTTTTGGGGGTGCAGGATGTGAGACTTGGCAGGGCTGGCACCCAGAGACCCAGTTAGCAATGTCTTTATCTAGTTGGAGCCACAATAGCTACGAGCTAGGCTTTTCATTTTAGCAATTTCAGGGTGCCCTTCATGAAGAAATTCCAATACCTGCTTGTGTAAGGTGGATGGTATTACTACTCTGCACCCCCATAACAAACATCCCCTTTGTGCTGAAAGTTCATGTTGTCATATACAGAAAGGCTGGAATTCTTTAGAATTGGGCTGTGTGGGCCACCCTATTTTAACCCAGTCCAACACTTGTGAGATTACCTTGTCCTGTGTAGATGTCTTGGCAACATCTGATGTGGTGATTGGAGTCTGGAATTCATCTATCAGCAATACAGATGAGGCAGGAGCTGGGTCATTGACAATAGTTGGCTAAGGACAGCGGCTCAACGCATCAGCATGACACAAGTTCTTTCCAGCCCAGTGTGTTAATGTGTAGTTATAGGCATCCAGAAACACAGTCCAACAAATCATGCGTGGTGACAACACATGGGGTGTCTGCTTGTCCCCAGCTAATAAACCCAGTAATGGTTTGTGGTCTGTCACGAGTTCAAAGTGTCTGCCATATAAGTATTAATGAAACTTCTTTACACCAGCCACCATAGCAAGAGCCTCCTTGTCAGTCTGGCTATAGCTACGCTTCACAGCAGCAAAAGTTCTGGAGAAGAAGGCTATTGGGGCTTCTCTGCCAGTGGGCAATTTGTGGCTCAGGACTGCCCCTGTGCCATATTGGGAAGCATCACATGATATAACTGCTCATTGAATTGGATTAAGATACTATCTGAGGTCAGAAGAGATTTTACAGCCTGAAATGCTGCAGCCTGCCTCCGGCCTCAGACCCAGGGTGCATTTTTATCTTGCAATCTATGTAAAGGCTCTGCCAGAGCTGCCTTGTAAAAAAAAAAATGCATAAAAGTTTAAAAGCCCCAGAAACGCTTGGAGTTCAGTTTTGCTTTGGGGAGTTGGTGCCTTTTGAATGACAGTGACTTTACATTCAGTGGGATGGAGACCAGCAGCATCAATGGAATAACCTAGAAAGTCTACCTTGCTGACCCTCATCTTACATTTATCTTTCTTTACTTTGAGTCCTACCTTTTGTAGCCTAGTGAGAACTATGCGTAAAGTTGTTTTTGAGATGTGGCAGCTATCAATATGTCATCAAAGTATGGTATAACACCTTGTATCCCTTGCAATATGCATTCCATCAAATTTTGAAAAAGGCCTGGGGCCATACTAACTCCAAATTGGAGGTGCCTGCACCTAAAAGCCCCTCTGTGTGATGATGCTTTGTGCCTCAGCAGTCATGTCATCCACAGGCAACTGTTGATAGGCCTGTGAAAGGTCTAAAGTGGTGAAAATGTTGCTGTTACCTAGGGAATGTATTAAATGTTGAATCACAGGCACACAGGGTAGGAGTGTACCTGTAGTGCTTTATTGAGCGTACATTTGTAATCTGCACAGATCCAGACTGATCAATCAGCCTTCACAGGTGTTACTATTGAGATTTCCCATTTTGAGTGATCGACTGGTTCCAATACCCCTTGAGATATTAATTTATCCAGTTGGTCATCAATTTTTGATTTAAGGGCAAAGGGAACCCTCCTAGGCTTGAGTCTGATAGGCACAACCTGAGGATCCAGGTTGAAGGAAATAGGGGTGCCTGTATATTTCCCCAGGGTCCCATCAAAAACATCTTTAAAATCCTGTAACAAATGATCTAAATCACATTCCTGTATGGAATTGATGTCACTGATTCCCAATCCCAATAACTTAAACCATTCTAACCCCAATAAACTGGGATAGGAGCCCTCCACAATTATTAATGGAAGTTTCCCCACAAAATTTTGGAAACTTACGCAGAATTTATGTATTCTGATGACTGGCACCAGATTTGATCGGTAGTCTCTGAAGTGAAGGTTGCAGGGCTGTAACCATCTTTTTGGCATCTGTAGTACCAGGCGTTTAATAGTACTCCAAGAAACAATAGATAGAAAATTTCCATTTTGCAGGGCCCAATTTCAATTTTCACAGTTACAAAAAAAATTCCCTAATTTATTTGCTTGCCCTAGTACTGCTGTAATGTTTCTATCCTGCCTATCTAACGTAAAGCAGTCTTCGTAATGAGCTGTTCCTTTTTCCCTGGTATTTTGAAAATTGGGGCTCTGAAGTGGTGGTAAAAGAGCCCTACACACTTTAGCTGAGTGCCCTTTCTTTTGACAGTGAAGGCAGACGGCATTTTTAAATCTACAAGCTTGTCTCTTGTGATTATGCCCACAGCTAATGCAAAGAGGTCTTGTTTGGTGAAGTTTTGCCTCACCTGACCAACTTTTAGCCTTTGGTGTTCTGAGGAGATAGATATCCTGATCAGGATCCATGTCCTCCTCTAAATCAGTCTGTTCCCTATGAACAGACTGGTGTCTCCAGGGTGTTACTGTTTTACTTGTTCCCTGTATTTCAGCTGCATATTTATTTATTTATTTATTTATTTGATTTGCCAATTGTTTACAAGATAATAAGTATAAATGTATACATAGTTGTGAATACATGAAATGGGTACATATAAGAAAAATAAAAAATAAGAGAAACAATAGGACAGGGACGGTAGGCACGTTGGTGCGCTTATGCACGCCCCCTACAGGCCTCTTAGGAAAGGGGTGAGGTCAATAGTAGACAGTCTAAGGTTAAAGTTTTTGGGGTTTGGGGAAGAATATTGGTTTGAAAGCTCAGCTGCTTGAGCTTCATCTATAGCTTGCTGCAGTGATAGGTCTGGCTTGGCTAGTAAACATTGTTGGAGGTGGAGCCACACACTAGTTAGTCCAGAAGGATATCATCTAATTCTCTGAATCTGCAATGCTGAGCGGAGTTCCATAACGCAGTCATATATTTACTTATAGTTTTGCCCTCAGCTTGATAACGCCTATGAAAAGCATGCCTTCTGGCTATTCTAGATGGTTGTGGCATGTAATGGCTCCTTAAAACTGTTAAAATAATTTCCCAAGAAACCTCATGGACCACCTGAGGTGATAGGAGTGTGGCTGCCATGTCAAAACTTCAGCGCCAGAAAAACTCAAGAAAAATGCCTTCTTCCACTCTGCTGAAACATCGCGCAGATCATTAGCCTTAATAAAACATTTGAACCTGTCAAGATAAGATTCCCAAATATAAGTTCCCAACTGATGGGGCAAAGGAGAGTGCCATTGTCATTTCAGCAATGGACAGGTTTGAGTGACTTCAGCAGTGGCTTCAGTTCTGAGTGACTTCAGCTAACAGGCTCTGATTTTCTAGCTGGTTGTCTTACCTTCGTAATCCCACCTTTGTTGCCAGTGTTAAATTAGTGTGGGAATAATCGAGACAGACCAGACGGTTCAGGATAATCCTTTTATTAAAAGCTAACAGGGTTTAAAATGTCAAACCACACACTGACAGGTGATAGTTGATCCCGTCTGACAGCGCTCCTTTTATAGCGTGCTGTCAGGCACGGCAGCCAATCAGCTGCCGCACTGTTTCCCGCTTCTTTTGCAGACCTGACTGAAGACTTGTTTACAACAATAATAATAATTGCTAATATGAAATATCAAGAATGGATTAGCACCTGGAGTCTTCATGCAGATAAAGAAAACGTTGACTCTTAAACAATGTTAATTAGCTCTTCTTTAAAAAAAAAAAAGAATTATTTACAATTGTTTATTGAAAGAAATTGTGATCTTATTGGTAATATCAACTAATAATATCAGAGGACAACCTGTGATCAGACTTCCCTTCATTCAGACCAACCAGCAGAAATCCTTAATTTTGTATTTTCAACTGCCACAGTGTAACAAATCACTTCCGTTCCATATCCTGTTCATTAGGACCTCCAACCACCAGAGGGGGATGTGCGTTATAAGAATAAAGCACGTATCTGTTTTAGAAGAAGCAAGGGAGGAAAAACCCTTTATTTCAGATTGGCATAAAGCCTAGTTTCACTCAGTGCTTTATGGCCCATCACCAGATGTGCTTTACTAAGCAAGGGACTGAAAGCTCTCCACAGGAAGGAGGATCAAGATGGTTGTTTTAATATGCCCTGAGAAATTAACTGACTGGTTTTTTAAACCATTTATAACAGGAAACGTGGTCTTCAGTTCTGCAGCAAATAGATTTGATCAGAAGCCAGCTTGGAGAGTTGTGACAAGAGGCACTCTGAACAAAAGATCTCGGTTTCACTTTTTGGAGGCTGAGCATCAGAGGGCTGAGCTTAGTTTCCATGATATTCAAAAATCTTTTTTTTAATCACATTTTTAAAATAAATATATAAAATATTACAATTTACTTTTGTTTTTATTAATTTGTAGTATTACATACAAATTCAATAGCTACATATAAACATATTTCATTTTACTGTACGCTGCCCAGAGAGCTCTCTGATGAAAATGGGAGTATCAGATACGCAAAACTGAATACATTAAATAAATCAAATATAAAAAGGTTTTTTTTCCTCCAGTTCTACCACTCTAGCCAAATAATAATCTTTTGACAAGTTGTTCAATGATCATCTGAATCCTCTTTCTCTGTGATTCTTGTGACTGCAAGAATACAAGATATGCTTGCTTTTTTGGCAAGCCAAAGGTCAAAACAGTCCCCCAGTTTGTGTTTGATATAATATAAGATACAGCATAAAAGCCAGTTTAGTCTAGTGGTTAAGGTACCAGGTTAGAAAACTGGAGACCATGAGTTCAAGTCCAACCTTATCATGAAAACCAGCTGGATAACTATGAGCCAATCACTCACTCTCTCAGTCCAACTCATCTTGTGGGATTGTTGTTGTAGGGAAAATAGGACGAGGAAGGGGGTTGGAAGATATTCACCACGTTGAGTTATTTGTAAAACTAACAGATATGATTGTATCCTAAATCTGGTTAGCCCTAGTTCATCATGCAACTTTGATGGACTTTGTTTATGTGCCTTTAAGTTAATGGCAACTGCTTAGACAAGCCCCTAGAGTTTTCTTAGCAAGATTTTTTCAAAGTGGTTTGTCACTGGCTACTTCTTAGGGCTGAGAGAAAGTGACTGGTTCATGGTTAACAGCTGGACTGCTCACTGTCTCAGAATGCCCAATGTCTCTGTTTCTAATTCAATGCTTTAGCCCCTACACAGACTGACTTACCTTCATTACTGTGTGTCAAACCATTGTTTGTTTATTTTACAAATTTATACATTGTATCTTCCCACATTCTACTTGGGTGAATTTTATATATATAAAATTCACCCAAGTGGAATGTGGGAAGATACACACACACACACACACACACACACATATTTTTAAAAAGGTCTAAATCCTAAAATGTAGGTGGAAAAATACATTTTGAAGCTCTTCCAGAACTATTTTAATGAAGAAGTAAGTTTCTTCCTTAATCCAGTTTCTTCATCAATCCAGTTTCTCCCACTACAGAAAAAAAGAGTGTTGAATTTCATTACTAAAGCTAACTCTGAAACTAGCAAAAGGTATTGCATTCAATTTAGGCAGAAAACTTCTTATCTTTATGGAATAGGGCAGTGAATTGGGCATAAACCTGGCTGTGGTTTAAATTAAGCATTTGAATTCAGTTCAGAAAGAATGCCCACGTTCCTTCTGCAGACTAAGATGCTTATCTGACCATTCTCTGACTGTGGCTCTTCCTCCCACCCCCGTCTCCCATGGTCATTACCGTATACCATTATAGATGGCAAGTTTGGCTTAGTAAATGGTATATGCAATGGAATTGGTGTATATCAGCAAGTTGTCATAACTATGCATGGAACTGGAAAAGACCCTTAACGAATTGGCAACTGATGGTACACTGACAGTCTACCTACCTGGCACTGGATCTTTATAATGATCTGTGAGAATATCCCTGAGAGACAGAAGCAAGTGGAGCTGTAGACTAGCCAATGGTCAGATAAGAATCAGTTTAAAGCGCATGTGACAGAAATCTCAGAAGAGACCCTCCCTAGTTTCTGGGACTATAAAGGTGATGGGGGAGAAATTGGTGGATCTGTAAAACACAGAAGGGCCATGAGTACTGGATGAAGCTATTCCAGCGAAATATCTTCCAAGCCCTCAAGCTTATGCAGCTCTTTGATTCACGGAGGAACTGAAATAAATGAAATGACTGAAATGATACCTGTAACACAAAAAAACTCAGAAGGGATGTGACTAAGCACTTATAAGAGTTCATATTCAATTCTATATACATAATGGCAAATGAGTGGTGAACCCTCTCACTGCTGCCCTGCATTTACTGCATCCTCTATGGCAGCCCTTTTCAGAATAATCTGAAAAGCACAAAGCATACTAATGTAACTGTGCCCATTAAGACTATTTTTATGAAAAGCTGAAACCAACTTAGGTATCACAAATATAAGACAAGAAATAAGATAACAATTAGGATGCTGTTTTGCAACCCTCTTTCTACTTTATTAAGATTAGATTTAATAGAAAGGCTATAATACCTGGTTTGTTCACTGGCCAAGATTGTGAAATAACATTAGGATATTTTTCAGCTTTTAAAAGTTAGTGATTTAAATATTTCCATCTACCAAAGTTGATACCGTTTTAACATTCTAAAATACTTTGTTTGGATAAAATCAGGATGTCACTACAAGTAACAAAGTCTCATACTGAAATTGATACTATTTAATCCAGCATTAGTCAGTATCAGAGTAGGTATCAGAGAATGAATTGATACCTGGTTATCCAGAAGAAATTCAACTCACATACAACTGATAATTCCATCTGTGTTGTCATTAACATTGCTTTGTGAATATGGTTCATATTCAGCCTCGATCGCAAAACTTACTAGGTAAAATAAAATAAAAATAAATCTGATAAATTTTCAAAAACCAGTGGGAAAACATCTCCACTCCCAAAAACATTAACCCATTGAACTTAAGTTATCCATTCTTGAGCAAAGAAATTTAAACAGAAAAGTCCAACATGAAGTTACAAAATCGCAGTTTAGCTTTAGCTCTTGGGTAAATTTTTAATTCCACTACATATCTTAATTAGCATACAAATACTGGGATATCTGTGTTGTCATTAATATAGCTCTTTGAATAAGGTTCCAATTCAGCCTTAGACATGAAGCTTGCTGGGCAAGGTCAGGCCAGAGAGACAACGTGGGCATAACAATTAAGGTGTAGGCTGGCAGCAGGGGCAGTCATGTTTAAATCTACCTTCAATCATGGAAGCTCACTGAGTGACTTTGACCAGTCATGCTTTCTTAGCCCAACCTATCTTACAGGGTTGATATTGTGGAGGAAAAGGAATAGAGAACACTATGTACACTGCCCTAAACTGCCATCTACCCACAATTCTGTCCCTTAGAATTACAACTACCATCAATTAGATTTCCATAGTTCTTCATATTATTCCAGAGGAGACTCTACTGTTTTAAAGAATGAACCCAGTAGACAGTACAATGTTTATGTGTCTGTCACTTCTCTATCCAACCAAGACTTTAGCATATCTTTGCCGGTTGCCTAATTCTGTCCTTTTATCCCACCTGTGACTGAAGATTAATGCTAATCTTGATAATTTCCACTGTTAATTGTGTTAATGTTATTAGAATTATTTTATTAATGTTATTGTGTTTTGTGCTAACTTTTTAATAACAATTTTATGTGCATATGTTTCTATGTAGTACTTTCTAGATATAAAGGCCATTATAAAGATTTTGGGGAGGTTGTTTGTTAGTTTGTTTATAAGTGACAACCCACATCATGAATTGTATCTGAAAGCCTATGGTTACTAGTACAGCTGGTGTTACAGAGATGTTATGAAAGTATACCATTGCTTACCTATAACTTTTCATACCACTGCATTCTGGACCAGCTGAAGCTTCTAAATGGTTTTCAAGAGCAACCCGTTCAACAACACATTGCAATAGTCCCAAATGCAAAGTGATGAAGGCAAAATTAATTGTGAGAAGAGTCTTCAATTTAGGAATGAGTACAATGTGAGCTTGAAATGAATGTTCCTGGTCGCAAATGCCACTCCTCTTTGATCAAGTCCAGGAAGAGTCCCAAACTGCTATAATGAGCAGAAGGAATAATATGGTGCAGCGGTAGAAGGTCACCAGCAGTTTCTCATTCAGTTGTTGTTTTCTGAGAAGTCTCAGGTAGTATAATCTCTGCTGGGCCCTTTTGACCAGGGCTGCAATGTCAGCACCCCAGGTCAGGTCCTCTTTTAGGGTAACACCCAGAAACTTAAAACTAGCCACTTGCTCCACTCAGTCTCCATTGATAAGCAAGGGCTGGATGTCTGATCTGTTCCTTCTATAATCCACTATAAGCTCCTTAGTCTTATTGGTGTTGAGGACCAAGTTGTTGTCTCCGCACCATGAAAGCAACCGGTCCACCTCATCTTGGTGGGCAGACTCATTCCCCACCACCCCCAGAGATAAGTCCCACCACTGTTGTATCATCTGCAAATTTAGAAATAGTATTACTAACGTGATTGGGAATGCAGTCATGCACATAGAGTATAAAGTAAGGAACTCAACACACATGTTGTGATGGCTATAGCATCCTCTGTAGATCTATTTTTCTGTATACAAACTGGTGTTTATCAAATGTATGCAGAAGACCAGAAATGATGTGCCGGCAGACCAATTTCTCAAAGCACTTCATGATGATAGGAGTGAGTGCCACTGGTCTGTAATCGTTGAAGTTATTGATAGGGAACTTCTTTGGCAGCGGAACAATGGTGGAAGCCTTCAAACAAGATGGAATAGTGGATTGGGATAAAGACCGATTGAAGATCCTGGTAAAGACTCCAGCCAACTGTACAGCACAGTCTTTAAGCACTCGGCCATAGATACTGTCAGGACCGGCAGCCTTTCTAGGGTCCACAGCCCTCAGAATGCTCCTCACCTCCTGTTCCTCCACAATGAGGTGGGGGCTACAATTGGCTGTTAGTTGTGTTTTATCTGTCTCTGATGTCTCCACTTCAAAGCGAGCAAAGAAATGGATTTCTTCCCACGAGGCAAATCAGATATAACACAAGAACAATAATAGATATATTAGAATATTATGAAAAGCATCCAAGAAGCCAAGTGGCCATGGTCTTTCTGGACGCACAAAAGGCCTTCGATAACCTAAACTGGGACTTTATGAAAAAGCAGATTAATTTGATGGACTTTGGAGATAATTTTGTAAAAATGCTGAATGCAATCTATGCCACACAAAAGGCCAATGTATTATTAAATGGAGAAATTACCAAATCATTGAAGATAAGGAAGGGGGTCAGACAGGGATGTCCGCTTTCACCTCTGCTTTTTATAAAATTTTTGGAAACTTTGCTGGACAGAATTAGGTTAAATAAAGAAATTAAAGGAATCAAAATTAAAAATCAAGAATATAAATTACAAACCTTTGCAGACGATATGGTTTTCGTTATAGAAGATCCAATAGACTCAGGACCAGCTCTACTAAATGAAATAGATAAATTTGGTAAATTAGCAGGATTAAAAATCAATAAGGAGAAAACCAAAATGCTAGTTAAAAACATAACAAATAGTAAACAGAAAAAATTGGAAGAAAAGATGGGATTACAAATTGTAAATAAAATTAAATATTTAGGAATTTGGTTAAGAGCTAGAACATTAAATCTGTGAGAGGATAATTATACTAAATTACTGAAACAGATTGAAAAGGATTTGGAAAATTGGAATAAGATGCAAATTTCATTATTAGGTAGAATAGCAACAATCAAAATGAATGTTCTACCTAAAATACTATATCTGTTTCAAACAATTCCAATATTACTGGACAAATTTTTTTTTAAAGATTTAGATAAAATTGTGATGAAATTTGTCTGGGCAAAGAAAAAAAACAAGGATAAAAAAAACTTATTTACAGGATAATAAAAGCAGGGGTGGATTCAGACTACCTGTCTGGGAGATATATTATAGAGCAGCAGCATTAGTGTGGATAAAAGATTGGATTCATTTAAGGAATAATAGGATTCTACAATTGGAGGGACATGATTTACAATTAGGCTGGCATGCATTTTTATGGAACCCGAATAGTAAAAATAATCTATATTTTACTAGACATGTATTCCGAAAGTCTTTAATTAAAATTTGGACTGATATAAGAAGGAATCATTATACTAAAATCCCGAGGTGGTTTTCAACGATGGAGGCGATGTTCCACTTAAATACTATGGACATTAGTAAAAAACTTAAATATAACCAAATATTAGATAGTGAGGGAAGAATTAAAACAAAACAGGAACTAGAATCACAAGAGATAGTTATGGATAATTGGTCATATTTCCAAGTAAAACTGATATAACAAAGACATAAAGGAATATGGAATTGAAGTAAAAGACACATATTTAGATAAAATACTTTTAAACCCTGAGAATAGTTTGATTTGCAAATTATATAATTATTTATTAGAATATGAAATGGCCGAGAAAATTGTGAAAGGTCCTATGTTAGCTTGGGGAAAAAAAATTTGGTTATAGTATTGATCTGGATGTCTGGGAAGAAATCTGGCAGAAAAACCTGACACTAACCAAATCAGTAGCACACAAGGAGAATCTATACAAAATGATGTACAGATGGCATCTGGTACCCTCTAGATTAGCCAAAATATTTCCGACAGCCAACCCTCACTGTTGGAAATGTAAAGGGAAATTTGGTACATATTTTCATTCATGGTGGACTTGTCCTGAGATAAAGAAATATTGGTTAAAAATAAAAAACATGGATAGAAGAAATTATAGAGTGTGGGCTAGAGTGGAAACCGGAATTATTTTTGTTGGGAATGATCAAAGGGGATTACCCCGCTAAAATAAAATATCTGACCATCCATTTATTAACTGCGGCATGTATTTCACTAGCACAATATTGGAAGAACCCAAATGTACCACCGATACAGGTTGCTATTCAGAAAACGTATGAGTGTGCCCAATTGGAGAGGCTTATGGGAAGGGGGATACAAATTACTATGGATATGGGATAAATGGTATAAGTGGGTAGATAATAAAAGGAGAAACATGTAAATGAACCTAAGATACAAATTACATTCAGTTGTTTATACTAAATATATAAAAACAATTAAAGGGTTTAAATCTTCTTTTCTCTGTTACCACTATTATTATTATTATTATTAGCCATTTATAATATTTCTTTGTTTACAAGTTAAAAAAACATGAATGTATCCGTTTTAGAAGAGTAGTTATAAACCAATGTGAAAATAGAGTATATTGTGAATTAATTAGCACTTAGGATGTGATAATGAATGAAGATGTGATTAGTACTAGCTAATACTGATTTTTAGGACTTACCAAATTCGATAACAAATGTGTTGTTCACATGTTATTGTTTGTGTATTTTTGAATTTGTATGTTTTTAAAATTGTAAATAAAATTGTTTTTAAAATAAAAAAGAAATGATTCAGTTCCTCTACCAATGAAGCATCCCCCTCAGCAGGGATGACATTGGTCGGTTGATGGTTTGTAATTTGTTGAATCCGTCACCACACCTGCCTCATGTTATTGCTATAAAAATTATCCTCAATCTTCCTCTTATAATCAATCTTGGCCTTCCAAATACCTTTCTTCAGATTAGCTCTGGCAACACTGTATCTTGCCCCATCACCGGACCTAAAGGCCTTGGTCTTGTCATGCAAGAGGCACTGGACTTCCTTGGTCATCCAGGGTTTCTGATTGGGATAGATCCTAATATGTTTATCCACAGTGATAGTATCTGTGCAGTGTTTGATACAGCACAGAACAGTTGCAGTGTGCACCTCTAGGTCAGGGTGGTAAAAGATGTTCCAATTTGTGTTCTCAAAACAATCCTGAAGTTGTTGGGAGGCATCTTCTGGCCAAGATTTCACTGTCTTTATTATAGGCAGAGCCCGTCTCCTAAGAGGGATGTAAGCTGGTGCTAAAAGCAGTGACATATGGTCTGATTGTCCCAAATGTGGTAATTGTATAACCTTATAACCATGTTTGATGTTGGTATATACTTTGTCCAATATGTTTGCTCCTCTAGTAGCACACTTAACATGCTGATAGAATTTAGAGAGCACTTCTTTTAAATCAGCTTGATTAAAGTCCCCACCTATTGTTAGTAATCAGAATAAGTATCCTATGCATCAGGATACTTATTCTGCTGATTACTAACAATGTTATACAAGAATCCCAAAGCTATGGTAATACTGGCATCAGGTGGGATATAGACTGCAGTAATCAAAACCACGCTGAATTCCCGCAGAAGATATATGGATCTACATTTAAGAGTCATATACTCCAGATCCATGGAGCAGTGTCTGTCTATAGTCTTTGTATTAATACACCAGCTTTTGTTCACATAAAGGCTTAAACTCCCCCTTTGATCTTGCCAGAATCACTACTCCTGTCCTGCCGGTGAGCTATGCATTACCTCTAGTCTTGGAGGATTTGTAACATGTTGTTATACTGGTGTTACTTTACTCTAGAAATCCAGTTCCAATTGAACCTGTGAGGTGAACATTTTATTTTATTTTATTTTAAATTTTAAAAAACTTTATTAAATACAGAAAGTTAAAATACACATATATAAAAGTAAAAAAAAAAAATAATTGTACAAAATTGTACAATTAAACATCCTAACGAATAGTACAGCCAGTCTTATTTTCCTCTAGTATGGTTTGATAGTAATTTAATTATTCCATCTAGATTATTAAGTGGCAGTTGCTTTCTATCCATTGTGAAATATCTATATTAATAATATACATTACCTATTAATCATTTCTTACTTCTTAATTACAACTATATAATTTTATAAATAAATCATTTATTTGGCTTCATCAAAACAAAGGACAGGTAAAAACTCATGCCCAATGATTGCCTGTCCTTCGAGCTATATATAATAATACATTTCTTAAGATCCTTATTTCTTTTTATTTTATACATTGTTTTTCTTTATGATCTATCCATTCGTACCATTTGTCCCAGATCTGATAATATTCTGTATCATCTTTCTCTTTTAATTTCAATGTAAGCCTTTCCATGTCCGCACATTAGTATATTTTCGGAATGACAAAATATAGAGGTGGTATATTGGGGCTTTTCCAGTAGTATGCCAGTGAAATTCGTGTCACTGTTAAGATGTGGATAATTAAGTATCTTACTCTGAGTGAGTAATCCCTTTTAATTATGCCCAGGAGAAACAATTCCGGTTTCCACTCCAATCTATCCTGGATTATCTCTTCTATCCTAATCCTGATCCAGAATTTCTTAATTTCCACCAGAGATGGAGGAAGGTACCATTATTTCCCTTACATTTCCAACAGATTGGATTTATTGTTGGGTACATTTTTGCCAATCTAGAGGGTGCCAGATGCCATCTATATAACATTTTGTATAAATTTTCTTTATAGGATACTGATTTTGTTAATGTAAGGTTCTTATGCCAAATCTCCTCCCAATCATCTAAATTTATATTATAATCATTTTTTTTGCCCAAGCTATCATCGGTCCTTTCACAATTTCTTCGGCTAGATCAAATTCTATTAAATAGTTATATAATTTGGATATCATATTTTTTTTCTTGGCCCAGGAGGATTTTGTCCAATTGTGTATTTTTTATTTCTAATCCAAATTCTTTTGCATCTCTGACATATCTCATAGCTACTTGAAGATAGGACCACCGATCAATAGATAGTCCTTGGGTTCTAATTCATAAATCGATTTAAGTTTCCCTTCCTTATTTAGTATTTGATGGTATTTTAGTATTTTACTAATGTCCATTGTATTAGGGTGGAACATTGCCTCCATTGTTGATAACCATATTGGGATTTTAGTATAGTGGTAACTCCTGATACCTGACCAAGTTTTTATCAGAGATTTTCTGATATTTGTGTGACTTGTAAAATTAAGATTCCACAAAAAGGCATGCCACCCTATTTGTAGGTTGTGACCTTCTAATGTTAAAACTCTTTTATTTTCCAGTTTAATCCAGTCCTTTATCCAGACTAATGACGTCGCTCTGTAATAGGTCTTCCAGGCAGGAAGTCCAAAGCCACCTCTGCTTTTATTATCTTGTAAATAACTCTTTTTAATTATTGCTTTTTTACTAGCCCAAATAAATTTCATAGTAATCTTATCCAAATCTTTAAATAATTTTCTATCTAATTGTATAGGGATCATTTGAAATAAATATAATAATTTAGGTAGGACATTCATCTTGATGGTGGCAATTCTGCCTAGTGAGATGAAGATTTTAAATCTTAATTTTTGACTTCTCATTGGGCTTTGGATGGTGAATATAGGAACTAATATTCTCAGGGGTAATTCTGTTTTCCAGTCTTGATCTTTCTTATTTTGTTTGATTAATTTCTACCTACTACACCTAAAAAGTAAAAATTGAAAATAAAATTCAGAAATTGAAATTTGCATAACAAAGTACTGCTGTCATTGGGACAAGAAGAGGCAATGACTATTCTTTGGCAAAGAATCCTTAGCATGGAATTGCAAACTGAATATGGCAAAATATCAGAAGATATAAAATTAGGTCATATGAAGATCTATTTCAAATTAGCCAAACATTTTAACCACTTACAGTCAATAAATTCTATAGGGCTTTAATGCTGTTGCATTTTGATATCTTGCCATCAGTTATATTAGAAATAAGTTTCAGAAAATTTCATGTGGAAAAAGGAATTAGTCCTTTCACTCTGGGGATATTGAATCACTAGCCTATATGTTGTTCTCCTATAACTGCTACAGACACACATATGGAGCTTTTAACACCCCTCATTAGACCATTCTCTGGAACCCCAAATGAATTTATGTTAAAAAAAATCTGGCAGATAAAGAGCTAAAAATAACACACAAGCTGTTGCAAAATTTGCATTTGCAGCCTGTATAACTTTTGTGTTCTTAATGGCAAATTAATTTTAGTCTGATTTTTTTTGGCTGTAGTTTATAGGGTAATGCATAAAGCACTAGAGTATTATAGCATTTTCATGGCCTTTTATTATACAGTCTTTTCCCTCTTTTTTCTTTTATTTCCTTTTAACCTTATTTTATTGTATTTGAACTACTTGTCTAAATACGTATATTGGGTTTGTAACCTATAATAAAGTAATTAAATTGAACTTCCCTTTCTTTTCCCCAAACTGCCTTCTTTAGTTTTTTTAATCATATTCCCTTGATATCACTAAAAATTAAAAATGTGCCATCCAGATTACATTTTTTTTCACAAGATTCTGTTTTGTCTGCATGTTATTCAATAACTATGTTTATATACCATAGTAACCTACCATTCCCTAATCCCATGGCATCCACATATAATCTTTAATTCCCAGTAAT